GCTTATAACAAGTGAAATTCTATACCAAAGGAAGCATGATTGCAGTTACATAGCGTTCAACAGCATGCCAGGTCTGAGCTCTGGCTGACAATGTTTACATACAAGGGCAGATGTGGATACCTTTTTCAAATGTTTAAAATATCACGTTTAAAACAAAACATTAAGACGTGAGTCTTCACAGTACTGTAACTGCCAGAGATAAATATTATGAACAACATAAAGTGTTTATAAATAGAATCAAAGACACGAATGTGTATTGTAATTGTTCGATATTTTCTGATGTTTTCGTGTAAAATAAACTCTTGAAAATCCAACTTTGGCCTGGGATTGATACGCATAGTAGTACAATTATTTAGGATGGCAACTGGATGCTTATCTTGGGCGTCTTTAAACAAGCGTGACGCATGAAATGTAGTGCATTAAAGATGCGAGTTTCTGCTATTTTGGAAAATTCTGTGAATTTACTTGTTCAGCAATCTCAAACTGCAGAGGAAACCTGGTCACTGTTTACTACAGCATACAAGTTAATAGAAACGTGGACATTTACATAATGCCATAATTATAAACTTGTTGTGTAGTTTATGTATTACAACTGCAAGGCAATAATTTTAATAAATCAGCATTTGTTTTATCTTGAATGGAAGTTCTCGCTTCCATATGAGCTTTCACTGCCTCGAGGCTTGAGCAAGAGTTATCATTAATTTCCATTAATTCTTTATGATAACAACACATCTTTAGAGCCCCTTAATCCACTGCTGGATGAAGGCTTTCCCCCACTCCGTGACGGTGTGTTTGTTTTTGTATGTGTGTGTATGTATGTGTGTAGCGGTAGTGGTTAGTGCGCTGCACTACGAACCTGGCGACCAGGGTTCGATTCCCGCTCACGGCAAACACCAGTGACGATTATCTGAACCGGTCCTAGGCCTCCCCTAGGTCGACTCAGCCTCAAATGAGTACCTGGTGCGGTGTGTAAACATCGCCGCTAGGGAGACAAAGGCGGTCGGGCGTGGTGCTGGCCACCCACCCCCTCGTGTGCCGTTCTGGCCTTCATAGGTGCTCGCTAACAGCACTTGCCTCTACAGTCTGTTAAGGCTATACGGGGGATCTTTGTATGTGTGTATGTATGTGTAGTGTCAACGATTCAGAGAAAGAGTTTCTAGGAGGCACCTTCTTTATTAACAACATCCCCGGTCTTGTCCACACGCTCTCCACAGTAGCTCAGCCGAGAGCCTGTACACAACACGAGCCGCCCAACATTGACGGCGCTGACTGAGATAGCCAACTACTCTCCTCCGCAGCGCAATATCTAGCGGAGACGTTTAGCGTGGGAAGCACGTGGGAAGCACGTGGGAAGCGAGTAGGAAGCACGTGGGAAGCACGTGGGAAGCACGTGGGAAGCGAGTGTGATAGCGCCGCTGTCCACCAGCCGGCGCTATCACACTGCACTCGTGTGCACGTATTCACCACGTGCATTGCGGCTCTTGAAAGATTGAGTTTTGTACCCGAATTCGAAAATAAACAAGTATAACCCGTAAAAACAAAGTTTTTCACTATACATCCTTTATTTGCGTGGCGGCTAGAGTCCTCTCGTCCTCTGGCTTGAGATGGCTGCCACCTATGGGTCAGATGATTGCATGGCAGCATTAAGCAATTGGTAATTAAATATAATATTTTTGTCCTAAAAAGTGTAAAATTTTGGAAAAAAAATTCACGAACATTAATTGTCACGCACAACGAGTTTGTGTGGAAAATGTCAGCTCGATTGGATCACGGGAAGTGGGTTAAAAAACGACCGAAATATGTGCACGGTCCTAAGCAAGCAAGCAAGCAAGTGAACTTAATATAAAGGATTTAAAAATGTCTCTTCTTGTTATTTTGGTTACCGACCCCTATTCACGAGGGTAGATTTACCCCACCATACTTCACCATCATGTTGGGGAAGGTGGCAGGACCGGTTGACGTGTTGCTCCCATAATGTAACAAGTCGTGGCGAGGAACCAAAACTGTGGCCCGTAACGTCAACGACTGCAGTCAGCGCTCCGTCAACGGAGCAGGATGAATAATTATCAAAACTGCGTGAACTCTCTCCCGAAGCCCTCTCGTGGCTAACAGACCTCGACATTGGGCATTCATCTCGTGAACATATTGCTACCATACGCAAGAATAGAAGTAAGATCGCCAGAATTATAGCAGACTGGACTAGCCACTCGACTCCCCCACATGCCATACCGTATATTCAACGTCATTATATACGACGTGGGGGCTTTGTTTGCTGTGAGCCGGCACCGCTGGTAAACCTGGGTTCGAATCTGGGCAGCCGTTCGTGAATAGAGCGGGGTCTCAAGTGTCGGGAGTTGATGGTTGCGACCCCATCGCCAACGACGAGAAGGAAAACAAAACCACTGTCGTTTACTTGATACAGCTGTCGTGGCTGTCGTGGTTGTGACGGTTCCACCTGAAGACGGAAGCTTGTGTTGCCTTCGAAACGTCGTGATTTTTATTTTATTTTACTTTTATTAATTTTAATTTTTTTACCTACGTGACTTTACCGAAAAAACCTAAGAACACTGTCGTGTTAAATTTCGTTTTACACTTACGTTGGTTAAATTCAGCTTTAAATGTTTATAAAATATTGATTTGACTTTGATTTAACCTCTTTGCAGGTCACGTGTAAAGTGCGCCCCCTATTGCGGAAAGGCTAAAGTGGCACTTGAAGGATTTTATTTAGGAGAAATGTGAAGGATTATTATCTCTTTGGCTCGGAGCTATTCTCCGACACATTCATCGGGCGTGCTCGCTGCTCCGTGAGATTGTAGAACGAATAATCATCTGTCTCGCGACGGGATGACGTAAGCATGGGGACAGATTGTTTCTCCCGTGAGAATGGTGGAACAATTGGGAACAACTTCTTGGTTCTTTCGGTAAAGTCACGTAGAAGGGAAATAATAAAATAATAAAAATAAAACATAATAAAATACAATTCTCACGACGTTTCGGCCACAACGCAAGCAGCCGTCATCAGGTGAATAACAGGTCTGTCGAGGCGACAGCGGCTTTTCATTCAGACGCTGTTGCCTCGACAGACCTGGTTTTCACCTGAGGACGGCTACTTGCGTTGTGGCCGAAACGTCGTGAGAATAATTTTATTATGTTTTATTTTTATTATTTTATTACTTCCCTTCTACGTGACTTTACAGAAAGAACCAAGAAGATGAATCCCTGCAGTCACGAAAGCTTTAAATCGAAATTTAATTGGGAACAAATTGAGCTTTGGTGATTGTTGGCACTGGGTGACCCACCGCCTGTCTGCCAACTCGCCTGTGATTCCTCGGTGTTCTGAGATGCAATTTGCATGAACGGCGCTCTAAATATAAATAACTAAACCAGTGGTTCTTAACCTTCACTGCAGCCTCGCACCCCTTTGGCTCCCAAGCTTTGCACATGTTTTAATGTTGATAAATACATCGGGTTTAATTTTCGATTTAAAGATTTCGTGACTGCAGGGATTCATCTTCTTGGTTCTTTCGGTAAAGTCACGTAGAAGGGAAGTAATAAAATAATAAAAATAAAACATAATAAAATAATTCTCACGACGTTTCGGCCACAACCTGAAGACGGCTGCTTGCGTTGTGGCCGAAACGTCGTGAGAGTTATTTTATTATGTTTTATTTTTATTATTTTATTACTTCCCTTCTACGTGACTTTACCGAAAGAACCAAGAAGATACATCGGGTTTGATGAAACAAAGTAGGTATACATATGTCGATGAGTTACCTTCTAACAAAAATCTGGCCGTGTCTCGCACCCCCAGAAACGGCATCTTGCACCCCAGGTTAAGAACAACTGAACTAAACAATAAACATTATTAATTGGGAGAAACACCGATTGTATTGTGCTAATACTGTACAGTATAAATCATGTTGAAAAACAGTCCTTGGTGCATTAGCACCGACATTTTTTTATAAACTTAATACAGCGTTGCAAAAACACGGTTCTGCAATAAGTGTGGTTGGAATCTGCACCACTCGCTTCGGAAATAGAGCATCATCCTAAATGACCTAATGTTACGGACATGCACTGCCTCTGACCTAAATACATAGTTATTAACGATCAAATTCGTTATGACCTTGGAGGCAAAATAATTTTTTAGCAGGCAGGCGCAGCATATTTCCACCAAGTCAGTCATGCCAAATTTTGACAACGGTGGAAATATTGTCAACGTAGCCCTGTCTGGTTTCAATGAAAGGGGGGTTGGGTGGGACATTAACAGATTGGCCGTCAAGAGGAGGAACGCCCAAGAGGCCGGCACGCCCTAGCGCAGGACAGATCATGAAATAACAACACGTGCAAGATTGAGATGGATAATCCACAAGGGACTGGAGAGGCAGCGGTGCCAAAACCGGGTGGGGGGTGGGACGGATAAGTCCCTATGCAGCAGTAGATAGAGCCATACAACACCATCACCGCATTTAAAACAGAGGTAGGGGAAGAGACCAAATAAACACACGCACGAAGCTCATGCGTATGGGATGCCTTATATTGATATAATCAGCTGACCACAGCGTGGGAAATCGAATTCATGGCATTATTACATAAACAGTGGGATGTGAGTCCCCGTCCCGTGACCCAGCCGCCCCTCGCTATTCTCGGCCAAGCGTTCGCAGCAGCAGCAGCAACAGCAGCTTGGCCCATGCTGTGTCGTAACATCCCGGCACGCACACACGTGGCCCCTCGCATTCGGTTAAAAAGAAAAACATTCACTTTGCTTATCACTCGCGTACGGAGTAACCCCCAAGCGAACTGGTTCACATCGCACAGCAGCCGAGCCGCGTGCGAAGAATACCTTTGGAATTTATTTTTTTGCGTAAAAATTACGCGGGATTGAATAAAGGGGATCCGTCTGCGCGAAATACATTCCTCCACCTGAGTTAAAAAATTTTTTTAATTTTTTCGCTTTCTATCGTGCGTCGTCCGTAACGGTCCTGAATATTACATTTACAACATCAGTTTTTTTAATTGTCCGTTCGTTCCACGGAGGATGGTCTCGTGGGGTGCGGTAGCTGGGTGGCCCCTCCTGGTGCCGCCGCTGCCGCCACTGCCGCCGCTGCTGCTGCTGCTCGTGTCGCTGGTGCCGTGTCTACTCATCTCGGCGCAGGAGGCCGATCCACGCACGGGAGCGCAGGAGGGGGAGCCGTGCCTGCGAGCCGCCTCGCCTCGCTCGCCTCGCCGCTGCGCCGAGGGTCTCGAGTGCGAGCCCCTGGACGCAGAGGAGCCGAAGACCGGGGCCAGGCTCTGGGGCAGCAGGGGCAGCAGAGGAAGGGGGTTGTGCGTGTGCGCGGCTCTGCGCGGCGTGGCCGTGTGCGCCAGCGACGGACGCACCTACGGCTCCGTGTGCCGTCTGCGGAACGAGCAGAGGCGACTCGGCGCCGGGGTGGGAGGCTCACTCTTCCCGATATTCAACGGCTCCTGTGAGACAGGTCAGCCACACCGCCCCCTCCCCTACCCATACACCCCCTCCTCACCGCCACGCAACGCAATCACGCCGAACTGCTGCTCATGACGATGATGTGATGGCATCTCGCTGAGTCAGCGGGGTGGGTGGTGGGTTGGCTGATTGGTGATGGTCGTGTGCGCGAGTTTTAAAAGCGGCTGACGAGCGGGGGTGGGGGGCGGATTGGTTGCCTGCCCATTGTCGTCGTGACAGGTGGAGCGATTGATGTGTTATCACCCGCACATCCATCACACTGCGATTCGACTCAAGGATCGATGTTGTTTCATGAACGTGGCGGCCGCTCGTGGCTATGCAGGAGTTACGTGAACCCACTTTGGTAGTACAACGTCAGGACGCGCGCGACTTGCTTGCTACATTCTATGTATTGTTAAGTCGAGTATGTACGAGGCTTCCCTTCGGCGAGAATCAGTAGCCATGGCCGTGATCGTTAACGTGGCTTCGCCCCCACTACAGGAATGTGGCATTTTTTCATTCAAGTTTCATTCAAGTTTAATTTATTAGGTATAGCCCTGTGAGCCATTCGGCTCTTGAATCGGATGCAACCGCAACAAACAAACAAAAACACAAACAAAAACATGAACAAGAAAACATCTAAAAGTGAATATGTTGCAGATCAATGTCTAAAATGAGTGACACCCAACGTACGTGTTTTTAAATCCTTTATATTAAGTTAACTTGCTTGCGTGCTTGCGTGCTTGCTTGCTTGCTTAGGACCGTGCAAATCTTTCGGTCGTTTTTTAACCCACTTCCCGTGATCCAATCGAGCTGACATTTTGCACACAGACTCGTTGTGCGTGACAATTTATTTTCGTGAAATTTTTTTTCTCCAAAATTTTACACTTTTTAGGAAAAATAAAATTCATATTTCATTTAAAATACCAATGTGATAAAAATGAAACTCTTACTCAAGAAAAACATAAATGAATAATAACATAAAACCGATGCCACGCATATAAAGGATTTATAGTGAAAAAATTTGTTTTTACGGGTAACATTTTTTTTCTTGTTCACACTGGAAGAGAGAGAGACAGAGAACGACTCAGAGGCGCCAGGAACCGCCGTCGGGAGGTTATCCAGCGCCAACATTGAGGTGTTATCGATTAAATTTCGATTTAAAGCTTTCGTGACTGCAGGGATTCATCTTCTTGGTTCTTTCGGTAAAGTCACGTAGAAGGGAAATAATAAAAGAATACAAAATAAAACATAATAAAGTAATCGTTTTATTTTTATTATTATATTACTTCCCTTCTACGTGACTTTACCGAAAGAACCAAGAAGATGTTATCGATTGATTGATTGACGGTGCACCGGGACACCCCAAGAAAACCCCCACGCGTGTGAGGGCGGCGACACTCGATTCAGTCCAGACACGCCGATGTGTGATCCACCTTCGCTGTACTTGCCCTCTCGTGGCAAGCCAGGGTATGTCACGGCCATGGGGGTGTCACGACATTTGTGTGATCCACCTACCCTCCTCTTCACGGTGGTGGGTTACAGCCGTGCGCCTCCCGGCATTGAAACGATATTTCAATGTTGTCTTCCACAGGAAATATCTAAAACCGCAATATAACTTGTTTAAACGATTTTTTTTTAAACGGCTCTCCAAACATCTCTCTATGTACATGTTCAAAGGTACGGTGACGCCACCGTTACTTGAACTCTTTCCAAGTTGCAACGTTATACGGTCGGCGGATGTGTGGAAATGAATCTTTAAGGTGTGTGTATGTGTGTGTTTTGAAATCACGCGAGTGGTCTATGTGCGGCCATGCAACGTTTGTAAACAAGAACTTGTGTGTTTTTTTTAAACGTGGCATGCAAATCCATTCTCGAGCATGTGCCTCTCATTACCATTCTACGTGTAGAAATATGACACAGTCCGGTACATCGCAAGGTCAAGGTGTCACACTGCCGCATAAAAAGTTTTGCGAATGACAGAACAAGGCTTCATTGACTCACTTTTGGCGTGTCGTACCGCTACGTATCCTGCACTGAAGTTACGTGGTGTGGGTAACTGAAAATAACGGGCTAATAGGGGTCGAGTTGCCCCCTGGTTTAATAAACGTTATTTCTGTGTGTTTTTTCTTTCATATCCCATAATGAAATGTGTTTAAGCAACCCTGGTGTGTGTGCGTATATGAGGGCCCCTAGGCTTGCAACATACTCGCACTCTAAAAACACGATCCTTTTTTCCACTATTTGATACTGACCGGAAATATCTTGAGCAAACCTCAAGATAAATCATTGTGCGTGTGAAAATGTAGCTTAATTTTTTTTTTAAGTGAACTGCACTTGGCCCTTTGAGGAGTACAACAACAACTACTACAGCATAAACATTCTTAAATTCCTCTACCGAGAGAGTGACAACAAATATAACTCGTTCCTTTTGAGCTTGTGCATTTTATTTGTCTCCTACCGCTAAGCCCCCACACTTAAGTCCACAAAAAACACAGCTCACGCTCGTACCGTTTCCATGGAGAATCTTATTTGACTATAGATTTGAAGCTTTCGTGACTGCAGGGATTCATACTCTTAATTCTTTCGGTAAAGTCACGTAGGTAAAAAAAATTGAAATTCAAATTAATAAAAACAATTAAATCACGACGTTTTATTGTTTTTATTAATTTTAATTTCATTTTTTACCTACGTGACTTTACCGAAAGAACTAAGAGTATGAATCTTATTTGACGTCGTCCCAGTTTGTATCGGAGCACATCTTCTCAAGGCTTGAGCGTGCTGCACTTTGTAATCGTTCGCTAAAGTTGGCATCGGACGTAATCTTTTTTTATTCTGCTTGTGTTTATAAATGGGAATGCTGGAAAAAAAGAATTGAGTACATTTCGCCGTGTTGTTCTAGTGAGACATCTGTGGAACCGTATCGCATTTTCGAGAGCCAAACAACACTTGGAGGGGGTCACAGTGACTGCGGTCAAAATAATGAAGTGCCCAACCGGAGCCATCTGTGTATGGTAACCCCACCCCTTATCTGGGCATCCTTCCCGTCCAACTTTCCCTGCGTCTCGGGGTCTCTGCTTTAAGGCCCCTTCTCCATAAACGCCCCGCCGCCTTCGATGCTCGGCAAGCCAGGCAGCTCCTTGCCAAGGCTTTGAACGACCTCCTCGCAGGCCGCCGCAGCGCAAGCTCGCATGTGTTCATACGCCCAGAGAAATGCGTAAAGCATGATAGGAATCCGCGTTTAAATGGCTGTGAATGAAGTTGGTGAAAAATGAAAGGATGTGATGTATTTACGCTCGTGTTTATTCTACGCGTTGTGTGCTGGGGATGGGCATTCCTTGGCTGACCTGGCGGGGATCACTCTGCGGCAAGCTGCCTCGTGGCAATGTTACTTGGCTTATGGAGTAACTAACTGTGCTCTCTGCCAATGTCCAAGGGATTCATGCTGTTTATTGGCATTTAAACAGAAAATTCCTGTCTAATTGTTTCTCAGACAGTCAAAAGAGTGAAACCGCGTTTAGCTTCAGCACGAGTATTCGTTCTTCCATTTATTGTTCGGCAAATTCATCTTTTATCCACATTTATCTGAAAAGAATATTGTGGGTAGCTGGAATTATTTTTGTCAATTGTCACGGCTAATAGGGTCCACCAAAAGTGTCCGAAATAGCATCATAGATAAGCAAAAGAGTGTCCTGTAATCACTAAAAAGTCTGTGAGATGTTAGACGCAAAAATGTGAACTTATTAATCTTGTTGACTTTGCGAAGACATACAAAAGCTATCTCATTAGAAATTTTAAAGTCATTAAAAAAAATCACACAATAGCAAAAAGCGCACTAATGAACGAAATCATACATGTTCCAGAATATTCCGTAATCTGTGCCATGTTTATAAAAAGTAACTCATCGCATTGTTACAGATATTGTTGAGTGAGCATAACAATAATTCGTGGCCTGGACTTTGATAACCGTGGGTTGGACTTATTTGTTGTTGTTGTGCCCGTGCAGGAGCACCCAACCCGGAGAGCGTGCGGGACAGACTCAACTTCATCGCCAACGTGACGGAGCGGGCCCGGCGCGCCGTGGTGCACGTGGAGCTGATCGCAAGGTGACGCCGTCACCGCCACGTAACTGCCCGAATAAACCCGAACCTCCCAAAGCTACCAAAACTCTCCAATGCGTGCCTGTGTGTGATTCTGGGTCCGGCACTGACTGGTGTTGAGTTGAACTTTGCACTGCGCGGAGCGGCAGCTTGCCGCGCTAGGAACCTGGCAAACCCGGGTTCGATTCCCGCTCATGGCCAACACCGGTGACGATTATTTGAACCGGTCCTGGGCCTCCCCTAGGTCGACTCAGCCTCAATAACTGGTTGCGATGTGTAAACATCGCCACTGGGGCGTGGTGTTGGCCACCCGCCCCCTCGTGTGCCGTGCCGGCCTTCATAGGTCCTCCTAACAGCACTTGGCCCAACAGTCTGTTAAGGTTATACGGGGGATCTTTGTCTTTGTGCTGCCTGTTGTTGTTCGGCACGATATCTAACATCGGGCCACCTGCTGGGAGCTTCTTCAGGAACTGCGTCGTTGAAGTTTCCAGCGTGTGCAGCAACACTGGATGATGGACGTCTGGCCCAGTAACACACTGCACGAAAACGCAGCAAAGAACTTTCCAGCACAACCACAAATACCTACATATTAGCAAAGCAATTCATTGTCCTGGTTTAGTCAGGACAGTACTGATGATTACATAATGGGTGTCCCAGAACATTTGCTAAAATTTGTATTTTGTCCTGGTATAAGACGGATTTGGCCTCAATCTTGACTCTTCAAGCGTGCGATGGGCGAGGCTCACTGGCCAATAGACCCATTACTGGGTGATTGTGCATTGGACGTGGTGCATAAGCACACCAAGAATAACTTAACAAATGTTTTTGGGGGCTAACAGAGGAAGGGGTTGGCACCATGTATCCTGGTTGAGCCGATCAGAATGATGGTGGCGTTAGGCCAGTGTTTCTTAACTCCAGTCATCGCGATCCACCACGGCCAATCTGTTCATGATTACCAATAAGTTCCGTTCCTTTGCCAAATAAAATGTTCTATTCCTGTTCACACTGCACGCACCTGATGGGTGGTCATCACAAACGATCTACCATGTCGGGAGTGGCAAGGGCTCGAGTTGAAAAACAAACCGCCCACCACAATGTCGGTGAAATGACGCATTGAATCGCGCGTGTGTAAGACTCAATGTTTTTAGAGTGGTATTTGTCACGTAGAAAGAACTCACGCGAACCCAACGCAGGATATGAGTCACAACACCAGAACGAGTAGGCTTACATTAAAGTTCTATTTTACTAGCATAATTACCATTATATCATTGTTAGCAAAGAATACCTTACATTTATCTAGGAATGTGTTTGTATTGTGCCAATACTTAATTTTAAGATTTTCTTTTTTTTTTATCAAATAATAAATAAAAGTGCCTAGTTAATATCCCACTCAAATAATTAATAAAAACAACAATGTGTAATAGCCCTTTGTCATTACACTACTTGATGAAGGCCTCTCAATGCTGTATCATTCATGAGGATGTATAGAATATCTAGATCTAACTTTAACACAACTATTACGAATCTGATCATTGTTTTTTACCCTTTTATCTGGTAACAAAACTGACACCTTTTTTACAAGGAGCCATGTTTGCATTGACCATAATACCTGCGGTCGGAATGCAAACAAAAAACACAACTCTGATTATGTATGCACTGTCCTTGAAATAGTTTGGTCCACACCCGAGACAGCTTTTCTTAGAGCCTCGTCTCATATGGTGTTCGACCAGATGACGCCAAAAGGCGCACAACTCAAAGACAATGCACCATCAGAGTATGAGAGCTCGGGGTAAGCTGCCAGATAAAAGGGTAAAAAAACAATTATCATTCTTTTGCTACTGGCAAAGGAGGTTCCAATGGTATTACGAATCTTTCAAATACATTTATTTTTTTCATTTCTGGGGCACGTAAAAGTTCGTGCGTGCTGAAATACACGTTTAGTCCACACGCGGTTTCGAAGACAATACGTATATTATCAGAGCATCCTTGTTTGGATTGTTTTGACACATGTATGTGTGGTTAATGCAGACTTGTTGGCTTTGCAATAGGCGCGTCTAATTTGGTGTTCGAACATCTTAACACCTCCTGTGTCATTCCCAGAAAGGACAAAGCCTATTCTTATTCTTTCATATTTTTATACTGTCAAAAAAAGGTTCCACAGATATCCACGTTTATTCCGATCGGGCCAAAGGGCATTGAAATGCTACAGGGTTTTCGTAATATCATACCAAGGACTATAAACACCTGGAATAATATGTGTGGTGCAGCACAAATCTGTGTAACTTTAGTCAACACCATCATCGCAGAGGCCCCTTCTCGGAAGTTTTTGTTACGATTCGTTGCTCTGTGATCTTGGCAGCCACAAGCCCCCTGGTGGACTTTCCGCCTCCAAACAAAACACTTTGCTTCGTGTGCCTGAAAACACGCACACGTTTATAGCATTACGACTGCAGATCTCATAATTCTATAAATTCTACTTATTGAGTTTTATTTACTGACTGTATTTTTTTTCTCTCTCTCTCACTCGGCCCAATGTTGAGGCACGTGTTCAGCATTAAGGAGGTATTTCCTTTGTTCAGAGAAAAACTATGAATGTAGCCAAATAAAATGTGTAATTATGTTTGTAGAGGTGTCACAAGCACAGACCTAAAAGTCAATTGCCGCCATCCTGATTATCTCTGCCTGATGATATACAAGCATTTCATCATCATCATGGTCAGTCCACTGCTGGATGAAGGCCATTCCAAGCCACCGTCATCTTACACGATCCTATGATGTAACAATCCACCAAGCACCAACACAGAGAAGCAGAATTCATTGCTCCATCTCTGGGCGAACAATCTCTTGGAGGCGGTCGACCTCTGAGTTGCCAGTTCGTCACGATTCTTCACCTTCGGTCATCAACCCCTTGTAGCGACGTGTCCCTACTTTTATCAACAGTTCGCAGCTGTCATTAGTTTGCGTCGTTGTTAATCTCCTACTTGTTGTCCCACCTGATGACGATTGCTTGTGTTGCGATCGAAACATCGTGATCTATTATTTTTCTACCTACGTGACTTTACCGAAAGAACCAAAGAGTATGGATTCCTGCAGTCACGAAAGCTTCAAAAATAAACGTCATTAATCAGCGTATGTTCTCCAATCAACGTGTTCCTTCTTAATGTCTCTCAAAAAAATTCCATGCACGCTTTTCTCCCTGCTTCGTCGAGCACTTTTCACTTTTAGTTATATATTTTTTGTCAATGACCTATTTCTGAACCATGTGTCATAGCGGGTCGTACATACTGATTAATAAGTATAACCCGTAAAAACTAAGTTTTTCACTCTAAATCCTTTATATGCGTGGCGGCTAGAGTCCTCTCGTCCTCTAGCTTGAGATGGCTGCCACCTATGGGTCAGATGATTGTCTGCAGTATTAAACAATTGGTAATTAAATATTTTATTTGTTTTCCCTAAACAGTGTAAAAATTTGGAAAAAAAATTTCACGAACATTAATTGTCTCGCACAACGAGTCTGTGTGCAAAATGTCAGCTCGATTGGATCACGGGAAGTGGGTTAAAAAACGACCGAAAGGTTTGCACGTTCGTAAGCAAGCAAGCAAGCACGCAAGCGAACTTAATATAAAGGATTTAAAAATGTTTTATTTCGGCACATTGCTACGTTACTTCTCATTGGCAAGTTCAGCTTTCCAAAGCACTCCAACCTACTCTGGTCCATCTCTTTATTTCATCTTTTAGATTTCTCTCCGCCTTTAATCGCTGTCCGAGGTCTCCATATGCTGCTGTTGTGTCCCTCTGAGAGATATTTACAAATCGTTTATATAATCTGTTGCACGTGAACGTTGTATTTGTCACAACTATTCTGAGCGCGACAGTGCAGGCTTCATCATAAAATTCTTCTCACATTTCCATCGGGTGCAAATAGTGACTATGCCGCCAGGAAATCTGAGATGATTAATGTTACCTCCACTAATAGGCTCTCAATCAATCACATTTTTAGAAAATGTATTATAGTCTCCAACTACAAATCAAAATAATTATCTTCACATAAAAAAGAGCTATTGACTAAGACAACCACCTCCTCCATGTTTGTACACACTAATGATCGTTAAGCGGCCTTGACATTGACACTTACAGCAATTTTAGCTTGGCTATGGGTTTAACCTGGGCCCATTCGCCCAGACGTGAGTGATGATCGAACACCTCCGATTAGCGCGGTTTGGCGACGTAGATGTCCAACGTACATAGGTACGAACAAACATGGATGAGACTCCCCCCCCCGTCCCACCCCCATCTCCCGCAGGCACCTGCTCTTCGACCGCAACGTGTCGGTGTCCAGCGGCTCGGGCTTCCTGGTGTCCGAGGATGGCCTCATCCTCACCAACGCACACGTGGTCACCCACAAGCGCGACTTGGTGGCCGTCAAGGTGCAGCTCACGAGTGGCGACACCTACGAGGCGTGGCCGCTGCACGTCGACATGCACGCCAACATCGCCATCATCAAGATCAACGCCCAGGTGGGATTTCTGTGACCCCTCCTTGGACGTCGCGTTGCGTGCTCTGCAGTCTGGGCTCTTGTTGAAATACAACGGAAACATTTTTGAACACGTAGGCTTTCGCGACCAATATCATCCATAATATCGGTTTTTTTGGGGGGGGTTAGATAGCGTAAAAATCAATGTGTCGTTAAACCCGCCACCATCCGACACGGCCAATTAGTAAGGTTTGTCAAGTAAACAGAACCCGCCAATTCGTGACGAGTACAGCGCACCCGGTGTGTTCGAGAACAAATCCACAACGTTTACAATCAGAGTACGATGACGGGTGGTGGCGGGTTTAACGACACATTCACATTTACGCAATCTAACCCCCCCCAAAAAAACTATATTATGATAAACATTATAGAAAAAATAAAGATCAACGCCTAGGTGCCCGCAAGCTCGTGCGACGGCGCACTCCGCACGTGCCACCACTCTCCGTGACACTGGGGGCTTCTGGGAGACCACTCTTGCATTCCCCTTCGCGGGAGAGGTGTGGCCCCTTCCTGTGAGCAGGCAGAGAAGGCTCTTTGTAAATTTTGGTGATGGTTGCTTAGCCGAGATCTCTCGTTAGAGTTCTCTTGCCAGATGCAGGGCCCCGGTTTAAACTCCGTCTACCCCATCAGATCCAAGAACCGCCCCACTCCCTTTTCAATTTACAACACCAGACAGTTGAGGTGGTTTCCTGTTGCCTTCATCAGCAGTGTTTTTGTAGGTGGCACTATCGCAATATTCGGTTTCTTGTTTGTTACGTGTTACCCCAACTTTATGCGATTTGGGCTATTGGTGGCATTCCATGAGACAGAAATTAATTCAGAAAGTTTGCAAAGCAGTCCATCAACCTCTGTGAGAGATTTATCCATGAAAGGAGATATCATGGAAATGTTTCTCAAATCTCAAGTGGTCCCTTATTCATGCACTAGAGGAAATAATGTTCCACTAACCCTGCTGAAGAGAAATGCTTCTTGCAAAATAGCTTAAACCAATATTTTCGTTCCCAGAACTTAAATTCAGCTCAATTAAGCGCATGACCAAATGTTATACGTTGCTATTAATTGTGCAGTCACTGGTGCCCGGACCGAGACAATCAACTTCACCACAATTGCCGCTTGCAGTTTAACATCGTATGCAGGACGAGTCGAGCTGTCCTGTAAACATTAAAAAAGTGAAATGGTGACGACGCAAAAAAATAATAAAAATGATAAGTGAAGTGCTGAGTGCATTTATTAATACACGAGCTTTACTACCCGGCTTCGCCCGGGACTTGGATTCTTGTCTTGGACTACTAATACACGGCCAACGCGGAGGGTGGGGGGGTGCGTGACGTCAGCAGGCACACTGCGTGATGCTGCCGCATGCGGGTCACATCACAGATATGTGACATCACAGATATGTGATGTTACAGATACGTGACGTCACCGCTCACTTGCCGTGCAAAATATATCCATTATTGCGCCCCCCCCCCCCAAAATTTTTTTTACAAAAGTCTATTTTTATACTTTTTGCATTGTGTATAGTCTGTAAACTACCCACATGCTAAATTTCAAGTGTGTTGCATGTTGGGAAGTATGCTAAACATTTCGAACAGACACACATATTCACAAATTTAACTTTTATATATAGATTAATTAATAGATTAATGTATTCATTAATGACGGGGGTGGGGTAGGTGGCCGAGCGAACGGCCACGTGGTTCGTGGGGCCGCTTGAGTCTTCAAGAGCTCGGCCGACGTCGCTGCCGCCCCTGTTGTTTCACTTGCATCCCACTGGGATTTTGCACACAGCGTTGGTGTACACGGTGCTTTTTTCTGCAAAATTTTGCTGTCTTTTCTTGGATTTTCTGTTTGCACTTTAAGATGTTTTCTTGTTCATGTTTTTGTTTTTTGCGGTTGCACCCGATTCAAGAGCCGAATGGCTCACAGGGCTATACCTAATCAATGAACTTGAACTCTCCCATCGCAGCAAAAGCTGCCGGTGCTGCGGCTCGCTCGCTCGGCCGAGCTGCGTCCCGGCGAGTTCGTCGTGGCGATCGGCAGCCCCTTCAAGCTGCAGAACACGGTGACGACTGGCATCGTGAGCACGGCGCAGCGCGGCGGCCAGGAGCTGGGCCTCGAGGACTCAGACCACGACTACATCCAGACCGACGCCATGGTCAATGTGAGGCCGGCTAGCCACACACGTATACACGCGCACGTGCACACACACACACATCAGATAATCATCAACGTTGCATTTGGTGTTCGCGCCAATGGCACTGTGTTACACGGGCGAACGTAGTCTGCCAGTAGGGGGGACGACTTTGCGACGTAGCTTTATCCAAACGAAATAATTTGCATATATTTTTCAAATTTTTATTGTGGTGCGAATAACGTTACGGGATCTTTCACGTCCGCTGTCAAGCAGGCAGCACGTGTTGATAGGTAGCGCACAGCCTGCAGTATTAACCAGGGTGGCCAGCGGGGTCGATCCGTGGCACCTCCGCATCAAGCGGCGAATGCCCCTACCGCTCTGCTATGTCACCGCCACAGGCATCGCGTGACGATCATTTGAAGTGAGTGAGGCCCTTTGACCTGAAATGTAGTGTTCAGTCAGAGATTAATTCTAACTGGATATTTTTCCGCTCGTTGGTTACCTGGAGTCGGCGGCACTTAACTCATAGCCACAGCCGGAGCGAAAATATTCTGGATGTGATTTTCCAGATCCGGAATATATTTCCCTGGTCATTGACCCGGACACATTTATTAAGTTAAGCCCCACCTTTACCTCAATATGCGACATGAATGATCTCGCGAATTAGAAATAATAATCTATTAAATGAGTAACACGCACAGTATTTGTTATTATCATTTTTTATAATATCTTTTGTTTTTCATGTAACTGCTGCTCCTTGTTCTGTCACTTTGGGACATCAAGTATGGGAGTGCTGGTGGACCCCTGGTGAATCTGGTAAGTACCGCTTGTAAATTCCATCACTCTTTCAGGTGGCATTTTTAAAGAAACCCATGATATGAGGTGACTGAGTGGATCACGGGTTGGTGTGTTGCTGAGCTGGCACCGCTGGGGCCTGGGTTCGAATGCAGGTAGCTGCTTGTGATCAAACTGGGTTCCTTATCTTATCTTAGAGTTCTCAAGTGTGGCGAGTTGGTGGCCTTAGCCTGCTCGCCATTGACCGCATAAAAAAAACCTAAACTGTCACGTTAAACTTTTATCTGCAGTTAATTTAGGCGATTATTCCAGCTCTGAGAAAGAAAAAAAACACATTGATGTCGGTCAGTGTTTGTGAAAGTGCTGCTCCCGGCTGTGTGCACCACCGGTCACTTGAAGGGGTTCCCAGAAGAAGCTCTGTGACATCTACTTTACATTGGGCTCATCTCGAACACAAATGGTTTCACGGGTCTGTGAGAAATTCGAACGGATACGTCACCCCATGTCATCACAATTAGAATAACATTTAGGACTCAAACAAAAGTATTCAAACATTGTCGTATGATGGTAGTGTTGGAGAACTTCATCGTGAAATTCCACTTTCTCTCCAATAATTATCCAATGAGGCAATGATCATCCCTTACCTTTGCTTTTTCTTCAAATCGTCATGCTGTATTGATTCAATGCTTCGTTGGTTTTTGCTGCTGAAGCAGGGCGCGTGTTGGCGTTCATCTCCCGTTTACGGCCCTGAGTCGCGTAGTGGATGCACGCCTCATTCAGAATAGCAGCCAATGTTGGGTCTCCACACGGGGTATACTCATAGTCAGTGGCGGCTCCTGCAAAATCTCTCAGGGGGGGCAAATGTCTGGATGATTGATAAGGATAAGGTCCATCCATGCAATGAATAAATTAACAGCTTAAGCATGTAAAGGCAACTTCACTTCTTTAATATTAATGAAAAATAAAGTGACTCTTACAATACATCTTGTTTGTTTATATACTCACTATTAAAACAAACCACTCAAGTTTATTTTATTAAAGATTCCACTAGGTAGCGATAAATTATATTGTTGGATGAAACGTGCTTACGTATGATGACGTTAGCACGTATGATGACGTAAGCACGTTGGGGCTTGCCCTCCCGGTAGCCATAGAGAATGCATTGGAGCGCCCCCGTTCGAAAAAAAACATCTTTGAATGTAAGTCTATGGGGCCACTCGGGGCGATTCTCAGCCGGAGTGAAATCGCCCCAAAAGAGGCGGTACTCCACAGAACGTGACATGACGCTGATTGGACTATATCCAGAGGCACAGTGACGGCTAGCGTGACTCTGTGGTTGAATGACATTGGTGGTGCGTCGCCCAATCGCCCTAATGAAGAAACCGCCCCTGTTGGTGGGTATCCACACTTCGGAGTGATACAGCAGCGAGTGGACCCACGATTGCGAGTCACTCTCTGCAATCACAGTGCTGCCCGGCAGAGGTGTGGACTCGAGTCATGTGACTTGGACTCGAGTCAGACTCGAGTCATGAATTTGATGACTTCAGACTCGACTTGGACTTGCATAACAATGACTTTGTCCCACCTCTGAGGTGTGGACTCGAGTCATGTGACTTGGACTCGAGTCAGACTCGAGTCATGAATTTGATGACTTCAGACTCGACTTGGACTTGCATAACAATGACTTTGTCCCACCTCTGAGGTGTGGACTCGAGTCATGTGACTTGGACTCGAGTCAGACTCGAGTCATGAATTTGATGACTTCAGACTCGACTTGGACTTGCATAACAATGACTTTGTCCCACCTCTGAGGTGTGGACTCGAGTCATGTGACTTGGACTCGAGTCAGACTCGAGTCATGAATTTGATGACTTCAGACTCGACTTGGACTTGCATAACAATGACTTTGTCCCACCTCTGCTGCCCGGAACCATCGTTGCTCACAGACCGCTGTTTGTTTTTACGAGTAGCACAAGTTTTGGTTTGAACAACACACCGGTGGTGCTGTACTGGTGACGAATTTTCACGTTCTGTTTACGTGACGACCCTTACTAGTTGGCTGTGACGGGTGGTGGCGGGTTTAACGACACATTTATATATTTACGCAGAACCGGCCCTAGACCTTTGGGGGCCCTAAGCAAAATTTGGTTGGAGGCCCCTTTGATGTATGATTTTTTTCACCCACTAACTAGCAGTGACTCTAGGGGGCCCTCTGCTGGCCACGGGGCCCTTTGCATTTGCAAGTGTCGCTTAGTGGCTGGGCCGGCTCTGTATTTACGCGATCTAACCCAAAAAAAACTCTATTTTGGAGCGCAAGTCTTAACCGTCAACTGCATTGCTTCTCTGTCTGTACTAAAAATCTGCAATCACTGCAAGTAATCTGAAACCGCGTGACACCATCGTTGGCAGGCTCCTCCGCTGACATGAGCATCGTGCCCTGTGCGGAGAGCCCCGCTGTGGTCGTGATTTAACAACGGGGCAGTAATTCAAATCAAACCACGAGTAAATTTGGTGTACGCGTCATTCTTACAGTGCAAGGCCATCGTGTGGAGGTGCTGTGTTTCCCACACGGGTGCTGTACCAGCTGGCGTAATTTCACAGTAGGGGGAAGGGAGCGATGTTGCTTTGTGGCTTCACCCTCGAGTCATTTGCGAATTATTCCCAATTTTTTGGGGTAAAATGTGGACTGTGAGATGCCTGCACACATGGCCGACTGTTGTTTTTTTTCGAGAAAAAACAAACTCCCACAGGACCTTTAATGCCCATCTTTGAAGCGGAAGGCGCGTCTGTTGTTGTTGTTGTTTCGTTGATGCGCCCACAGTATTATCACAAAAAATGAAAACCGCTGCAGCGAGTGGCAAAACGCGTGGCCTCTCGTCCGTGTCGTCGCCACCTAACGGAGCGGCGTGCGGTTGATCCGCAGGACGGCGAGGTGGTTGGCATCAACACCCTCAAGGTGACGGCAGGGATCTCCTTCGCCATTCCAAGCGACCGCATCCGAGAGCTCCTCCTCCAGCGACCAGACACAGGTACGGACATGGGCACTTTGACACTGTAGGCTTTGTTATTCATATTTCGATGTAAAGCTTTCGTGACTGCAGGGATTCATCTTCTTGGTTCTTTCGGTAAAGTCACGCTGTCTTTCCGACAGACCTGTTCTTCACCTGAGGACGGCTGCTTGCGTTGTGGCCGAAACGTCGTGAGAATTGTATTTTATTATGTTTTATTTTTATAATTCTACGTGACTTTACCGAAATAACCAAGAAGACTGTTATTCATAATCAAGGGGGGGGGGGGGGGTTGGGTTAGATCACATCAGTATGAATGCGTCGTTAACCAGCCGCCACCCGACACAGCCAACCAGTGAGGGTTGTGTCATAAACAAAACGTGTCGATTAGTTACAACTTCAGCCCACACGGCGTGTTGGAGAGTAAATCCACAACGTGTTTAATTTGAGTACTGTGACGTTTGGCTGGAAATGACATCCAGCGTCATCGGGCAATTTTTGCTCGAATTGTGAAGAGATCCACCTGCTTCTGGTCTTAAATAGACACAGGTACTAACCTGGAGCCTTGATGGCACCCCCCCCCCCCCTACACATTGGCTGGCTAGCTGGCCGTTCTCCTTTTTAAATCCTTTATATTAAGTTCACTTGCTTGCTTGCTTGCGCGATTACGACCGTGCAAATATTTCGGTCGTTTTTTTACCCACTTCCCGTGATCCAATCGAGCTGACATTTTGCACACAGACTCGTTGTGCGTGACAATTAATTTTCGTGAAAAATGTTTTCCAAAATTTTACACTTTTTAGGAAAAAAAATGTATTTGTAATTACCAATTGCTTAATGGTGGCAAGCAATCATCTAACCCATAGGTGGCAGCCATCTCAAGCCAGAGGACGAGAAGACTAGCCGCCACGCATATAAAGGATTTATAGTGAAAAACTTAGTTTTTACGGGTTAATTTTTTCCAAACTTTTTTGGGATGGGCCAAATGCTTTGGATGGAAGCTGGTGGGACACCTTTGGTTATTGTGCAATTGGCAAGCGTGGCTGTGCTGTGCTGCTGAATGTTGTTTCGTAAAAATATATTTACCGAACTCACTTGAAGTGGCGTTAATCATGCCACGTGTTGCCTTAAACATTTCCTGGCTTTCCGGTTCTTTGAAACATAATAGAAAGACCCTTAGTATTGTTGTCAATAAATTCATATTTAGAACAGCATTTTTGTACACAAGCTGCACGTGATAGATTCTAACCCACGCTGGAGAGCTATAATCTGAATCGGACCATAACACAGCGTGTAAATCACCATCACATGGCACCAGTGTTGGCCGTGAAACGACAACAGCTCCAAAATGGAAAGCGGCAAGTTTTGTATTGCTCTGAGTGCCCTCACCACGTGCATCACAACCGCTCATGCCACGTGGGACCACCGTGCGCCAATTCCGAGTAAAAAGAAAAAAAGGTGCAAATTAAGGAGGATCTGCACAAAGGTCACAGACAATATTGTGAAAAACATTAATTATAACGTTCGTGCGGTGACCAGATTAGATACTGGGAAAACATTTTCCTCCTTATCTGTTTTACGCCTCGCTGCTTCTCTTTGTAAACACGCTAAAATGCCAATATTATTTCTACGAAAAAAAAAACAACTATTCATAAGTTCAAGTGAACGTGGCTGAGCGCCCAACGAAGGACACCGATTGGTTGTAACTAATAAACAGGCCAAGGTTGAACTAAAGAAGAATATGTGTAAAATAATACACAGTCGAGGGGGGACCTCATAAATCAACGCCCATTAGCGCCGCAAGTGGACGGGAGGTCATCATGCGCTGCTTCAGAGGTTCATATTTGAGAGGAAACCGCTGTAACTCATTAAACGTATTACATTCCCAGTGCTGTCTTATGCTGACCATGGATACATGGGTGTCTGGTGAGGATTATTTTTGGACTGGACCAGCATATTTTTAGGCACTCCGAATCTACTACGGTGCGGACAGTTATGGCCGCTGGCTTAAGAAAAGACTTGGCGAAAATAAGGGAGCTTTGCATTTAGAATAACGTATGACCTTCAAATTGACCAAACTGGTGATTGTGCCCTGCATATAAAACAGTAAACAGGATACGGCTGGAAATGTGAACACTTGGGGCTCTTAAAAAACGTTTATTTTTGTGCGGCTGCGTGCGCGCGCGTCGGCGTGCGTGTGCAACATGCCTGTGACGTACGTGTTATTGGAGGATGCATTCGCCAACATCTCCATGGATCATGAGAAAATGTTTAGTTATAGTTTTCGCGCGGAGGCATGTGCATTGACTGCGTCGCATCGGCTTGCAAAAACAAGGCGGTTCGGCTGTTGCAATTAACCTCACCCACATGGCATCAGGAGCTGTTTGCCAACGTTCCGATGTAACGTTAAGCATCGTGACCTTCATTGCTCGGCTTCGGAATTCATTTAGCTCCGATTCCCCCGTTTGGTAAATGTCACACACGTGTTTGCGGAATTCATATTGAGTAACGGACAGACGGCGGGCAAACCCCGGGCGAGTTGGGATGTTGTTGCAAAGTGCTTTTGTGGATTTGTCTTGTGGGCTGCGATGACTCGCTCATTTGACACGACTTTGTATATTTAAAAAAATAGCCGCTTGAAATAGATCCAGATTGAATACCTAAAGTATAACACTGCTGTACGACTCCGTTATGACCAATACGAAATTGTAACGTATATGCTATTTATCCAGTAGGTGGCATGTGGTACACGTTTGAGCAAGCATTCCACAGTTTCCAGGACCACTAGTTTAAAAAAAAATTCTCATGAATATCAGCCCTTTGGTCAACGGCACTGCTGGATTAATGCCTTCTCAAATTGTGTCGGTCACGTGGGGTGGTTTGACCAAACTTCGAACTCAGGTCACGAGGTTTCAAGAGTGCGGACCACAAGGTACTGGCAGTGCCCGCTTGTCTTCACGAGCAGTAATGTTTAACCATCACAAGCTGCGTCATCGGCCTGGTCATGGGAAAGAGGGGGGTCGGGGAGAGGAAGCAACATTTATTCCCCCCCCCCCCCCCACTTAATTAACCCCCCCCCCCCAGGCGGTTGTTTAAATATGTCAACAACAGTGGCTGGCACTGTGGGGCGTCGTGGTTCGAATTCTTGAGATATTCCACTCCCCGCGAATGGGGAGAGCCTCCTCGTGTGTCCCCGTTGAAGAATCCCCGAGTAATCCCCTGGTGCACGCTGCCTACCCTGCTGAGCAAGCCCTGCAAATGGGGTGACTAGTGGAGACACTTTCTGTTTCGATTTAAAGCTTTCGTGACTGCAGGGATTCATCTTCTTGGTTCTTTCGGTAAAGTCACGTAGAAGGGAAGAAATAAAATAATAAAAATAAAACATAATGCAATCATTCTCACGACGTTTCGGCCACAACGCAAGCAGCCGTCTTCACCTGAGGACGGCTGCTTGCGTTGTGGCCGAAACGTCGTGAGAATTATTTTATTATGTTTTATTTTTATTATTTTATTACTTCCCTTCTACGTGACTTTATCGAAAGAACCAAGAAGACACTTTCTGTTGTTTAAGAATTCCTAGATTTGACCACTGCGGTCCCTTCCTCCCCGCAAATACTTTATATAAAAAAAAATACCTCTTGCGATCCACTCCAATCCCCTGTTGAATATAATCCCTTGATACGATGCCGATGTGAGCCCTCCCACGCCGAACTCTCGCAATCCTCATCTTGATGAAGTGGAACTGATTTGCGCCCGCTGCTGTTTACTCATCTCCGGATGAACCGATGGGCTGCGCTGACCCGGATACCGCCTGTGAAATAACAAGGCCAAACGGATGGCCGGCTATTGCACTTGACATTTAACATTTGGGCCACTCTGTATTATGAATGAATGATTTGTGTTGCAACACGACGATTCAAACAATGTTCTCGCTGTCTCACATGGCGCAGCGATGACGCGTGAGCATTCATTGCCCTGGACTCGAGCAGTCCTAGTTCCTGTGCTGCATGCGGATCAACGAGACGACTATCAACGCTCATCGCCGCAAATACTCCCAGTGGCATTAGAAAGGGCAGGAAGGCAAGTGAGACGGTATGTCATTCTGCGTGTGAAAATGAGGGAAGGGGAGCGGTGGTGGGAAACGAGACCTTTTTTACGATATTTATTTAAATGTTTAAAATGGATTTCATTAAAGAAGCTTCGGCATAAAGTAAAATATATATATATAACTGAAACTCTACCCCTTGGAGTAGTCGGAAAATGTTGCGATGACATCTTATGTTGGTCTTGGCCCAAAAGCGTGGCACTGTCAAAATTAATCAAGAGAGTGTTCGTACGGCTCAGTGTGAGGATAAGTCGTTTTTTTTTGCTGCAACGAGGGAGAGGTCTTTTTTGACCCCATACGAACGGTAGCCATTTGACGACATTCATTGTTTCAATAGAGGGGTTTTATTCGGTTAGATCGCGTAAATATATAAATGTGTCGTTAAACCCGCCACCACCCGACGTAGACAATTAGTAAGGTTTGTCACGTAAACGGAAGATGCCAATTTGTTACTAGTGCAGCACACGCGGTGTGTTGGAGAGTAAACCCACGACATTTACCACAGCATTTAATTGTAAATGTTGTGGGTTTACTCTGCTGTAGTAGTAACGAATCGGCACGTTTTGTGTACGTGGCAGAGCTTACTCATTGGCTGCGTCGGGCGGTGGCGCGTTTAACGACACATTTATATTCACGCGATATAACCCAAACACATCTATTATGCATAACGTTGGTCGCGAAAGCCCCACTACTATGACTAGGTGTTAAATCCATTGCGTTGTCTGACTCCGTTGCTCAGATCCAGAGAGAGATAGAATAAACACGTGACGGCAGTTGTTGTCTTGCATAGAAAGATGTAATCGGAGACAGACGCACCACCGACATCGTCTCTGCACTGACGTCAATCATTCAATCATCAGATTTGGTATGTTGTCCCATTCTCGTAGCACAAGGCTCTGAAGAGAGTGCTGTGTTT